GTGGTTCTTTGAAACAATCAGACCGGACACCATGAAATTGACCTTTGAAAACAACCAGTTTATGTTCAGTTTCCCTTGCAAATAGTTTCCGTGTTCGCAATAAGTTTGAAATAACCATTAATCTTGGGAACCCCTTCATTTCGTTTACCAAGGAACTTAATAATGTCAGGAGCCCATCAGGTGATGGGCTCCTGATAATGTTTATTTAAAGCAGTTCGAAAGACATAAATTGACCTGTGAGATTCTGTGCTCCAAGAGCGGCCCAAATTTTCTATAACTGTTATATAAGAAACTGACAGCTGTAAGTGGGCCATGTCCGAGCTACCTTGTGCCTGTGTCAAAACGAGTCTTCATGCGAAACTATTGATATGAAAATGAGTTTCCCTTACAGGTTCATTTTCATGCAAATCAAACTCGTTTTCATATGAAAGGTTTCGCACGAGTACTTGTTTTAATACAGAGGTACATGGTAGCTCGAAATGGCCCATAGAAATAAAGTATTAGCCTGTGTAGCTGGCGGTTTCGGTGGAGTTTATCGGTTGCTTTCGTTGCGCAGGAGGAGCCGCGAAGATGAGACCGTGATTCTTCTCGTGGCCTCGCCTTCGCCGCTCGTTCCGCGCTACGAAACCCCACCAAAAATCCCCAACAAGACCGCCAGCTTCGCAGGCTAATCAAGTATTGGTAAAGGTCAGGTTACAACTACCAAGACTTATCTGCACCCGCAGAGGCCTTGCACGAATTCACCCCTTGTCAGTACGATAAGATATACCGTCCTTTAGCAAGTTGAACAAGCACGAACTAAAGGACCCTGATTAAGTTATCTTGGTTTTCTGCCAATAGCAGTTATTGCTATGTTGTATTTATGGAACATCGTATGGTATTTATTCTTCAGTTTCCCTTTGTTTTGTGAAAATAGTGCTCAAAATGGTCCTAAACATTTTATAACCGTCCTTGACTCTAAGGCAGTTTTTTCCGGACAATGTATTGGCCTCGCGCTTTTAACAGCCGTAAGAGCAGGCTCCACTGGCTAGGAGTTTAATCTACAAATACAGCGGAGGCATCCGCTTAACATGGACATTTCGTTTCTATGAAATACTCTCACGTAGTCCTCAGATACCCAGATCCTGCATTCTAACCAAACGCGGCCTTTCTGCTTCTGCGATTCTGCGAGTGGCACATTCTCGACCACAGAGCTCTTCTGTTTTTTTTCGAACAAAGCGAAGGCTCTGAGTACAAAAACCATACCCAATCAGAGACCAAAATGGCCAAAATCGATATCCTGTTTATGACCTACGCGACAGCTTTCTCTGGCCGTCATTTTAGGGCCTGTTTACAAGCACGGAGGGTTACCCTAAGAAGCGGGTTAACCCTACTGGAGGGCAAAAGATAGCCCGGGTTTACAAGCAACATTTTACAGGTAGGGTAACCCTACAACCCGGGACAACTTAAAACGCGGTTACACTCAAAGGGTATGGAAACAATTAGAAAGTTAAACCGGGTACACGGGTTAACCCTACCTGGGGTGTTTACACGGGAAAAAGTTAACCCGCCTGCCACGCAGATAGGGTAACCTGCCTACACAGGTAACCTTAGCTGCCTTGTATACACAACGAAGAAAAAAAGAGGAAATGTGTGAGTACTTGGGTAACCCTCTCTCCTCGTAAACAGGCCCTTGATGTCACGCGACGCAAAAACCTGTAAATAGACTCAGAAGAGGTTTTGTTGAAAGGAAGATAGTTGATCAATTACGGATAAATATTATATACAGCTGCCTGAAGTTTTGTTAGAGTTTGTTGATTGAGCCAGTCAGAAGTATGATACAACGAAAGCAAAGTTGCGCAAAAGTTAGCACCTTTATACATTCCTTGCCACGTGGTGCTATCCTTCTTATGTGGACCATTAATTAAAGAAGTCAGTAAAGTAAGCCAATGACAGCAAAATCAGACAAATCAGAAACAATTCTGAGAATTCATTTTCCAAGGCATTCCATTGTTACAGTTCGGACTGGACATACAATCACTACTTACTAAAGCAGCATTGACAGACATATGATGACAAATCACCAACAGATTTGACACAACAACACACGATTTAAAAATAAAGTCATCCATTATAACACCGGCATAGAGGTTACTTTCTGTTCGGACATGGCAAATCTTCTTTCGCTGCAAAAATAAATGAATAAATAAAATAAAATAAAAATACAAAAATCGGTGTGTTACAAGTCTTAGTAAAGTTCTTAGCTGTCCTCAATGAAACAACAACGGGGTGTCATCAAGTCATTCTTAATCTTAAATTAGCATTACTTTTTACGAAAGGAAGTTGCATTGTGTAAATCTCCATGTTTTAATCTCGAAAGAGATTGTCATCTATAAACTAACACAGAGTGATTTACCCAGTGGCGGATCTAGGGGAGAGGCCCGGGGGGGCCCGATCCCGCCTTATTTTGGGAGAAAAACGAAAAAATCACAGAAGGAAGAAAAGCCGGCAGGGCACGCAAAACAAAACCGCCACATCCACCTTAGTTTAAGGTCTGGATTCGCCACTGCAAAGCCAGTAACCCCGACCTGCTGTACGGGAATACGTGTTAGTGTCTCTAGTCGCACCAAGTATACTGATATGATTTTTATTATCATCCTTTAATTAGTTATCTGAGTCAGTTAAACACCATGTTTCTATAATATTTACACACTCGGAAAGTAGCTTCTAATGTACTTTCGACTTGTATAGTTTTGCTTACTATTCCGTGTACAATCGTATAAACACTTTTTACAGCTTTTGATGTGAAAACTGTCGCTAATGATACATGAACATTCTGTCCATATATCAATCTGTATGACGTGAGCAAATGTTGATTATCCTTACTAAATTTCATACCTTTATTTTAATCTTAAAATATCAGGATAAGAATTCGTTGTTTACCATGTTTACCATCAAATGGCATCGTTATTTCTTAGTACTGTACACGGGTTTGCCTCTTATCTAAATTGTACCGTGATTTCTCGACGACCGCAGCTGTTGTCTTTCTTTGCTAAGTTTCGGATATCTCCGTGTCCTACTTAATTCTGCAACGAACATTTCATCTCCTCATACAAGGATGCTATCCCGTCTGATACTCGCCTTCCTCGTCAGGGGTAAAGATGGACGCGGTGACGAAACTTGCTTCAAAGGTATCGGAGGGTCCTGGGAGACTTGACACACACATGGAGACCTGGGTGACGGAATGGCTTTAGAATCAAACACAAAGCTGTTTCGATCACAGATCTGAAGGCGATTAGGTGAACGCTGGTAGCCACTGTCTGAGTTGTTGGAAATCACCATAGAATCAGTTTGACTGGTTCTGCAGGCCAACACAGTTGGCAAGCTCTGGCAGTCAACTTCAAAGTTTCGTTGCTTCCTGGGAATCTTCAGTTGCGCTTGCGCGAGGTTGTAGTATAGGGAAAAGGTACTGCCAATCACGGAGGCGGACGTAGAGAGGATGATAATGCCGCAAATGGAAGCGATACCACCAATGACCTTGCCTGCAAATGATTCCGGCACAATGTCACCGTATCCTACCGTTGTCATGGTGATGACACCCCACCAGGCAGCATTAGGCAGGCTGTGGAACAACGATTTGGATTTAGCCGTGCCCCAGCTCTTCTCGGCGTACAAAGTGAGGCTGGAAAAGATGATGACAGGAATGAGGAGAATGAGGAGGAGAAGGCCCAGTTGATGACGGCTAGCCTTGACTGTCTTGCCGAGAATCTGGAGGTCGTACAAGAGCTTGAAGAACCTGAAGATGCGCACCACCCGCGTTGTGTTCAGGACTTCAATCAGTGTTGTGCGCTCGAACACGAGAAGCAGGTATAGTGGGATTATTACCAGCAGGTCAATCCAGTTTTGCAGCTTCTTGGCAAATTGGAACTTACTGGGACAGAAAACCAAGCGCAACAGGAATTCCAAAGTGAACCAACCTGTACACACCGAGTCTATGATCGTCAGCGCGTCCATCGGGGTCCGGGAGCCCTCAAGCTCCGTTGTCGTTTTCGTTGCTGAGGATTGTTTCAAAGAAACTTTGTTATTATTGATCTTACAGGCAACAAAATGCTGAATATATTCGGCGAGTGAAAATCGTCACTACAGGACCGAAGTGATGAAATCTAAAACACGCTGCAATTTTGATGCCAGCACCCTTAAAACTCTCGCTTGGTTATGATTGGTCTGTTTCGGATTTTTCAACAATATGCCCACATCACAAAAAAGGCCAGTAATAGAATTTGAAGAAATTTGATCAGAACATTAGCACATATAGGCCAGTGAGAGGTGAGCTTAATTTAGTCCACAACTAATAGATGTTGTTGTTGTTTGTTTGTTTTGCAAATTGAAACATAACCTAAATCCCGCGCAAAAAAGAATGGCAGATGGTGGACCAAGTAAAGCCGTAAGGGGACTTTTAACGGGCTATACTCGTCACTTAAAGGAACTACGCTACGGCTTGCGCATCTGGAAAAACCTTAGCCTAAACGTTTTTCAAGTTTGTCGTTTGCAATCCGTGTTAATCTTCTTCATCCTTGACTATCCTTGTTCCTTTATGGTTTATGATTATCTCTTTGGTGTTTTTCTATCTTAGTAAACGACTATTTTCATGGTTTCAAAATAACTTAAAATCCCGTGACTGAGCTCCTTTAATTGCGATGTACATGTAGTTTTCCAAACTTATTAAGTACAGAGAACATCTTTCCTCCCTGTTGATGTCCCCGGTCAATTTTTAGGGTACCATTTTACCGCTGTACTTACTATAGTTGTTAGCTCCGTGTGTAACATTGCGCGTGACGGGCACTTCTCTGACTCCCTTGAAGTATTCGACGGTCCACAGGCAAATAGTGAAGATGGAGGTGACTATGAACCCCAGAGAGACCCAGGCAAATACCTAGTAAAATAAAGTTTAAAACAAGTTGCATGCGGAGAGGTTGAAAATATTGAAAAAAACAAAACAAAAACAAAACAAAAACAAAAACAAAAACAAACAAACAAAACAAAAAAACAAACTATTATTATCTGTTACTGTAAACTGCCGCTTATAATCCCTCCCTCTTATAAGCCCCCCTCCCCCCGCCCGGTTAGAGGCCGCTCTACTTGTAAACATAATATTCAGTTCTGATTATAAGCCCTACTGTAGTTTCAAATAAAATACGAAATCAATAAATTATGTTTTATTTCGGTTATAAGCCCCTCGGATATAAGCTCCTCCGGTTATAAGCCCGTCTAAAAGCTCTTACGAAGTTGCATAAGCCCAGGGGTTAGAAGCGGCAGTCTACGGTGTTGAAAAAAGCTGAGTTTTTTTACAACTGAAATTCGTTTAATTTGTAATTCAATAATCCCGTCAAAGAGAGAACTTCCCGAATTATTCAAATTCATTTACGGAAGCTTAAAAGGAGATTCAGATAATTTTTGATAGGTCAAGACAGATAACTTTTTAATTCACATCAGAAGGGTGAGGAACAGGGCAAAGCAACACAAAGCAGCGTTTTTGAAGGTTTTTCAGTAAAATCAGAAAATAAGAACGTTGACAAGAGTTTTAACATTCTAGGCCATAACATCATATGGCTTAAATTCTAAGTTTCTATCTTGTATTCGTCTTTGTGGTTTTATATTGATAGAAATTTGCATATCTTGTGCTAAACAAACAGCACAATTCTGAGATGAATTTTGTTTCGGTTTTTTCATGGTTTGCTGGAAGAAAAGACTTTCATCGCGCGGTTTTAACAAATATGCGTAAGTCAGCAAGTTACTTTATTCACTAACTGTAAGCACAATAGAATTACAAGGTACCTTAGCCGTCGAGGACGAATACGGATCATCCAGAATTTCCCAAACAATCGGCTGGTTTCTTTGCCACCACGACGA